CCCCCAATTCCCCAGTAAAAATCTGCATTGACTTTGTGCCTCCTTCCATCAAGAGGTGACTGTAATCCCCCTTCCCCTGAAATCCCTGAGGGCCTTGCTACTTCCTGTGATCAAAGGATCCTGGCAGAAGTGACTGTTCCCTTGTACCTATTCAGAGCCTAGACCCCCAAGGCCTTGCTACTCCCACCCCAGAGCAGCGTGCTGGAGGATGAGTGAGGGCATGGAGCAGACGCGCTGTCCCATCTGAGACCATTCTAGGCCAACCAGCCCCCAGCTCACCCGCCCGCAGAGGGCAGGCACGTGAGTGATCCAGCCCAAAACGCCAGCCCACAAAACCATGAGCAAACTTAAGTAGATGTCATCTGAAGCCACTAAGTTTGTTATGATTCAGAAATTTCCTTGCATCTCCTTCAAATAGTGCTTGTACAACAAAATCAACTCTGGAGAAAAGGGGTGCGGTAGGCTAAATAATGGCTCCCCGACATAATCCCTGAGTGTTGCATTCTATGACAAAATGAACTTTGTAGACGTGATTAAATTAAGGGCATTGAGAAGGGGGATGTGGTGAGACTGAGTTTTCCAGATGGGCCCTAACTGGAATTCCAAGTATCTTTTTAAAGGGAGGCAGAGGGAGGTTTGACTACAGAGAAGGCCATGTCACCACGGAAACAGGGACGGGAGTGACACAGCTGCAAGCCAAGGAATGCCAGTGAGCCACCAGAAGCCAAAAAGTGCAAGGAATGCATTTTCCTTGACAGCCTCTGAGGGAGGCTCACGTGATGAGCAGGCTGCAGCTCATCTTCTCAATCCTTCCATAAACAAACCTCTGTGTGGCTTAAGACCTGTGTGCCCTGGGCACCTGGCTCAACTCTGAGCGTCATTTCCTCATCCATGAGATGGGAGATGGAACAATATACCTGTGTTCGGGGCTACAAGGGCAGCCAGCCTCAATTTGGCCTGGTCAGTGCCTGCACTGCACTTCTTCTCACCCTTGCCCGAGTCAGGGCTTTGGTGAGGATTATATGAGATAATGTACGTAAGGCACCTCGGAGCATGCCTGATGCATAGTAGGTGCACAATCACCACCCACTAAAAAGTCACCTGCCCAAAGCCGTGTGCCTAGCAAGTGGCAAAATGAAGATGCAAACGCTCATCCGTCTAACCCCAAACGCCCCTTTCCACTGGGGAGGTCAGGGGAGGTTCCCTTTTTAAGCTGGGATCTTGACAAATTGGCAGGACTTTGGGGACGTATAAAAAGCACAAGTGATCGTCCTCAAGTGCATTGGGGCTCCGTGTCTGAGGGGGGCTAGCGAACACAGAGCAACTGAGCCACGACTTCCGCTCGTCTTAGAAACAAGGCTGATCCACCGCAAGGGCCCCGATGGGAAACGGGCTGCTGTCCCCTGTTCCAACCGGGAGCCTGCGTATCACAGCAGAAGCCAGGGGAGGTCTTGGACACCCAGCGGAGCCAAGAGCCAGACCCAGGATGCCGCCTACCTTCACCATAGCCGTTGCCCGGGTGCTGGTCATGGGGACTGCTGGAGTAGTAAAAGCCATTGTAGAAGGGCAGCCCCGAGACGCAGGACAGGGGGAGCAGCAGGACCAGGAGCAGCAGACACACGGCGTCATGCATGATGGCAGCACCAGGGTGTCCTGGGCGAGGCTGGGGCCTAGGCAAACTGGGAAGAGGAGAAAAACAAGCCAATTAGACGAGCCCAACTGTGGGGGTCTGGGGATGGCCGGGGAGTCATTCACTGTGAAAGGGAGATCATAAAACTCACCCAGGTATGTTTTTCTCGAATATGATCTACTTTTCTCCTATCGTGATAGAGTTCTAGATAGGTGCAACCAGTCATTGGAAGGCTGTTTCCGGCTTCCCTTCCAGTGAGGAGAGGCCATGTGACTCAGTGCCGGCCAGTGGCAATGAGCAGAAATAACATGGGCCCCATGCCAGTTTTGCAGTTAAAACATTTAAGGGGCCGGCCGAGTGGCGCGATGGTTGAGAGCTCGCTTGGGATGCTGGAGGGCCCCGGTTCGGATCCCACATGAGGGCCAGTGACACTGCCCTCCACAGCTGAGATGCTGAACCGCAGCTCAACCTGGAGCTGGGCTGCCGTGAGTCGCCGGCGACGGCGTGGGCTGCAGTCCCTGTGGCAGTGGATTGCCATGGGCTACCGTGTGTTGCCAGCAGCCAGCGTGAGCGGCCAGTAGCCGCGGTGAGCGGCCGTCCAGAAGCCGGCGACTGATCTGCCTCGCCCGAGAAGAGCACAATGATGGTGCCAGCTTGGGCCAGTGAAGCAACACCCTCCACAACTAGACTGAAGAACAAAACGACAGCAACTTGTCTGTTCCCCTTCCCCCAATTCCCCAGCACTGTTCCCATCCCCCTAATTCCCCAATAAATAAACAAAAAAATCTTAAAAAAAAAAAAAAACATTTAAGGATATCCCCTGCCTGGTATTCCTTCCCCAACCTGCTGGCAACCAGACTAGCCCCCTTAGTCTCAAAGGCAGAGACCACGGATTGATGACAGAGCTGTCACAAGGCGGTATTCGTGTGCCGGGGAAAAAAATGTGTATTTTTTACAAAATCATGAGTTAAAAAATACCAAGGTTAGGGGGAAAATAGGTTGGGACAGACTCCTCAAAACATATGCAACTCTGTAACCAGAGCACTAACAAAAACAAGAACAATTCTAGTAAAACAAACAAAGAAAAAACAGCACCATTAACTCTGTACTGACACTGGCATTGGATGCCCTTTGCACCCGACCCCTGTCAATCAGCCCTTTGCCACCATTGCCACTAGGCAAGTACTTCTTCCTTCCAGGCATAGGTTCTTGGGGGCATTGGATTTCAACAGAAACTAGATTTACCAAAATTAAAAAATCTGACCATAGGGTGAAACCATCTTCTTCAGTCCTTTTTTTTTTTTTTAAGATTTTATTGGGGACTTGGAGAAGGGAACAGTTTTGGGGAATTTGGGGAAGGGGAACACTGTGTTTTCCCAGGACCCATCAGCTCCAAGTCAAGTTGTTGTCCTTCAGTCTTAGTTGTGGAGAGTGCAGCTTAGCTCCAAGTCCAGTCGTCGCTTTTAATCTAGTTGCAGGGGGTGGGGGGGGGAGGCGGGTGCAGCTCACTGGTCCATGTGGGAATCGAACCGGCGGCCCTGTTGCTCGGAGCTCGCACTCTTAACCAACTGAGCCACCTGGCCAGCCCATTCAATCCTTTTTTTTTTTTTAAACACAGGAGAAATGTCTTTGCAACTTCTTTTTCTGACTCCTACTTTTATCAGAAAACTTTGTTGTTAGGTTCTGTTAAGCAGCTAAACCAGCCATGCAGGCATCCACCTTCACCAAATCGACTGCATCCTTGAGTCAGAATGGTAAGAGTTTGGATATCGAAGAGTTGGGAGATTCAGGAGGAAGAGGTGTTGCATGGTCCAATCTATTTGGTTCCTGAGTTTTGGATGGTGGGTAGCAAGTAGCATCTGTTATTATACTAAAGAAAGGCACTTTCTCCAGGACTTCCATGTCAGCCATTTATTGTAAGGATTTCATACGTTGCTAAGGCTTGCTCTTTAATTGTGAGAAATATTGTTACAGTCACTACAGTACATTAGAGTCCTGGGGAAAAAATCAACACTGGACCAATGTGATTCCATGTTACACTGAAATTGGTCCCCTATCATTCTCACCTATCATGAATGAAGTAGTTCACAGTTCAGAAACATGCAGAGGCAAAACAGACTGTAGCACCTCCTGGGGTCCTCCAGTAGCTCCCTCAGTCCTCCCAACAGCACCCACCCTAGTCAGCAAGGAGAATTTTTATTCTCCACATTTAATTCACTGGTGAACAGAGGCACAGACACATGAAGCAACTCTGCAAAGGCCACACAGCCGGCAGGCAGCACAGGCAGGACTCCGTTGAGCTCTTTTCAGCTAACCCCCATAACCGTCTGCCATATTTAAGGACTGCCTTCTGCTTATCAATGCACTTGCCTGGACATCATTGCCTGTGACCCTCACAGTGTCAGAATTATCCCCGTTGCCCAGACAAGGAAACTGAAGTTCAGAAATGCTAGGTTGCTTGGCCACTTGGATTCAGTTCTGGCTCCACCCACTTACTAACAGTCTGTCTTTGGACAAGTCACTGAGCCTCACTTTCCTCATCTGTAAAATGGGGATCACAACAATACCAACCAGGAAATACTTTTGTGAAGATTAAGGGAAAGAGGGTCTGAAGAGTGCTTAAGAATACTGCCTGGCAGGGTGCAAGCACTCAAAAACATTAGCTATTATTACTATTGTGAACAGTTTACAAAGCAAAGTCTCACATTATCTCAGTGGACCTTTCTCCCTTCTCATTGCCTAGGAGAGAAAGCAGGCACCATTGCCTTCTCTTTACAGTTGGGGAAACTGAGGCCAAGGCTTTATCTTTGGTAAATAGGTGGAGGTTAGAGAAAATTCAGGTCTTCCCGATGGCCCAGATTTTGCTTTTCTGCCAGCATCATTTGCCTGGGGAACCAACACACAAGAATATACTGAACGCGGACTTGGAAGGAAGATGGAGCCCCACCAGAGCACGAATCCAGGCACCAGCAGGGGGCAGTCTCCACCAGGCCACCTACCCAGCCAAGAATTTGACTTTGGTGTCCCCCTTTTCCAGAAGGCTTACAAGCAAGGGTCTTTTAAACCTGTGGAAGCCGGAGGTGCTTCTTGCCAGAATTCCCAGTCCGCTGGCCAGTGCAGGGCCCCAGGAAAGGACCAGGGCGCCACCCTCTCACCTACCCCTCCTGCAGAGAGCAGGTTCAGCCCTGGTCACCGCGGTCCAGACTGGGTCACAGGTTGGTGACAGAGCTGGGTCCAAGGCCTTCTCTATTTCTTTCCTGGCCGCTCATGAGCCCCAAATTCCTCCCTGAAAGACCCATCTCCCACCCAGGGCTCTACCCTCCGCTCCCCCACACACACACACCCGCCCCCACCCCCCGCCCCTTTCCGCTGTCCCCAAGGCAGAAACCCCACTGAACTGAGGCCCGAAAACCGACGGGCATCCATTGCGTTTGCCCTGGGACAACCAGAGCAAGAGGCAGAGGCAGAGAGGGCAGGCCACCTGCCCGTCGCCTCGCAGGGTGTCCCCAGCCCCTCTCAGAGTTCCCGTGGCCCTGGGGCAGAGCCGGCTCGCGCGGCGCGCTGTGTTGGCATCTGCAGGACCCGGCCGGGGCTGGATGGGAAAGGAGTCGGGCGGCCCCCAGTGAGGAGGCGATGGTCTCAAAGACCACGGGTTTCGCCGGGCTATGCCTCCTCGCGGGGCACACACCAGTCCGGCACAAGTCGGCCCGCGCCCCACGCGGCTCTCACCTCACTTGCGCCGGGAGCGTCCCTTGCATGTGGCCGAGTCCCCGCTCTGGCCCCGCCCACTTCCCCGCTCTGGCCCCGCCCACTTCCCCGGACCCTGACACCACTGGCGTGCGTGCATCGCGCCCACAGGGGCCCCAGGAGCCTGGACACTCTCAAACCACGTACCGTCTCCCGGAGGCTGGACTACTCGAGCGCTCGGGGACGCCGGCTATCGGTGTCTGATTAAACAAGATGGCTTTTGGGACCCTGACCTGCCAGAAAGGAAGAGGCTGCCAACAAACCCCAGCGCTCCCGCCAGGCCCTGCCCTTTAAAAGAACTCACTCCCGCCCGCCCCGCCAGGAAACGGAGTAAGTGCTCTGGACTTGGGCACGCTCCAGACTCTGCTGGGGAACCCCTGCTAAACCTCGGGGCTGCTGGCCAAGCCGTGAAGGGTGGGTACATGAGTTGAGGCTGTCACAATTGGGGGAAGGGGGTGAGCAGGGGGATGGAGCATTTGTAAGAGAGGTCCCAATAGAACGCTCTGGTTTACCAAAAACAGTGGGACTAAGCAAGGGGGGGGGGGGCCTCCCAAGCACTCTGCAGGCAGGCGGTGGCTAACCGCACTCTACCTTCAGGAGAGGGAACGGTGAGTGTTCTGTCTGCCCGCCTTTCCCCTGGAGTTTGGCCGTCATGAAATCACCAGCCAGACCCGTCAGTGTCAGGTACAGGGATGCTCCCCCTAGGAGGTGGGGCTTGGAGGAGAGGCCCTGGAGTGAGGGGAGGCACAGGAGAGGGGTGCTTCCAGAACCCTGCAAGGGCAATCAGACGTCTGACTGGTTTTCCAACAGGCCTTGGCCCCTCTCTCAGAATCCTCACATCTGTCAACACAGCCATGTGGGCAGCCACTTCCCAGGACGCCTGTTTGGACAGGGTGTTTTCTTTCCTGTCCAGACCAATAGGGAACCTGGGCCTGACAGTTTCCTCAGCAGAAAATCCTAGAGGACCACAGGGTCACTGAGCCCAGGGCCTCTTCCTAAACACACTAAGACAGATGGTGTGCACACGCACACATGCGTGTTACACAGCCAGGAGCAAATCAGAGCCGAGCTGCAGTGACTAGGGCCCAATGTGCACTCAGAGTGAATGCCAGGCTTGATAGGCAAAAGGGAACCAGGGAAGGTTCCTCTGCAAGGAAGACATCTGACCACTATGTGCAGGATGGATTGGGAGGGGAGATAAACAAGACACAGGTGTCAACTAGGAAACTCTTGCAAGCTTCTCGGACAGATGACCAGTGTCTGAGGCCTTCGATGGGCTAGGCCAAGGGTCAGCAAACTGCAGCTTGCAGTTTGCCAACCCCTGGGCTAGTCTTTGTATAGGTGATTGTGTACATTTCCCTTAGTCCCCGGAAGGCCATGGAGTCAGCCCTAGTATTTCCACTTTACAGAGGAGGTAACCTGAGGCGGAGATTTACGTAAACTGCCCTAGGTCACTCGGAGCCAGGATTTGAAATTAGGTTGTCCAACCTGAAACCTTGGGCCCCTAGTCACTCCACTATATTTGAACCAGGACTGAAAAGGCAGGTTAGACTTCTGGGAGAGGCAGGTCAACAGTTCCCAGGGCTGACAGCCACAGGTGTAGGGAGAGGACTGGACAGCAGGGAAGTTCAATGTTATGACAGTAAAGTGAGTTTAATGTGCCAGCCAGGGCAGGGCTGGCCAGAAGGTGGTATCTCAGAGCTGGGAAAAGGTCAGGAACAAAACAGTAAATTCATGGAGTTGATTTATTAGTGGAGGAGGCTGCCCAGGCAGAGAAGCCAAGGACAGAAGGGGGTCAGGAGTGAGGGGGATCCCAGTCCTGGGTCCCCATCCAAGGCTAAGATGAATGAATGAAAAGGGGGCAATTCCAGAGCCACTGTGGGTCTCCTGAGCCAAGTGGAGGGCTTGTGACTACCGCCCACCAGTCTACATGGCCTGTCACCCAATGAGACTGGCCCACAGAAAATATTTAATGCCATGGATAGGGGCAAGCTGACAGACAGGAGGGAAGTTCTGTTTCCCCTTCTGTAGATGGGACTCCTGCATTCTAACAAGAATGGAACTAAGAGGTCTGACAATTAAGCTCACAAACTTGTTGGATCGATGTTGCTAACCTTCTTTGATATCAGAGGGATTATTCATTATGAATTTGCACCAACTGGACAGTTAACCAGGTTTACTATTTGGAAGTGCTGAAAAGGCTGCATGAAAGTTAGGCGACCTGAACTTTTTGTCAACAATTCATGGCTCTTGCATCACGACAATGCACCAGCTTACACCACACTGTCTATGAGGGAGTTTTAGCCAGTAAACAAATCACTATTGGAACACCCTCCCTACTCACCTGATCTGGCCCCCAATGACTTCTTTCTTTACCCGAAGATAAAGGAAATACTGACAGGAAGACATTTTGATGCCATTCAAGACATCAGGGTAATATGACAACAGCTCTGATGGCCATTCCAGAAAAAGAGTTTCAGAATTGCTTTGAAGGGTGGACTAGGCACTGGCGTCGGTGCATAGCTTCCCAAGGGGAGGACTTTGAAGGTGGCTGTAGTGATATTCAGCAATGTGGTATGTAGCGCTTTTTCTAGGATGAGTTCGCAAACTTAATTGTCCGACCTGACCTCGTAGTTAGGTATCGGGGAGCCACCCCAGAGCAGAGATGTGGGAGAAAGCTGCTTTTTGACTGTCTGCTTGTCCCCAGGAGAGGCCAGAACAGGGGTGGGGGTAGGAAATGCTCCCTGGAGGGAGTCCCGCAGCCAACAACTGTCCAGAAAGACTGACTCAAAGCCCAATCCGAGCGGCTCCAGGGAGGAGTCTGAAACAGGAAGGAGTGTGCTGAGGGCCCTTCCACAGCCCCCGTTCATTCGGAGACCATGGCCTGAGCCTTTTATTCTGTCCCTGACCAGCCAAGAAGCCCTGGCAAAGGCAGCCTTGCAAAGGAGCCGCTTCAAAGGGATTTCGCTCATGAAGTGCCCACAAAGCCGCAGCCTCCCTTCAGTGGCCGGGTGGGACCAGATCTGCCACCCGGAGGCACGTGTGTATCACGGCGTGGCTTCCCCACGTCTGTCCCAGGCGATTCATCTTGTGTCCCAAGGCCTAGCATATGAGGGCGGTTGTATTAGCCCCTTTCCCAGCTATTCAGCTCTCTGCCAGCCCCCTCCCCAGATCAGACCCCTGCACTGGCCCCCACTGGCCAGCTCCTGATGGCTCCTGCCTGGGGGAGGGCTTAGGGGTGCCCCTGGAGCTCTCCTCGGAGCCTTGGAGTGAATATGCCAATGGCCTCTCGGGAGCCAGCATGCTCTCCCACATGGCGGAGTCCTGGCCCGCTGTGGGCTCCCCACCCCAGTAGCCTCCTCCAGACATTAAGCTCTCTGTAGGCAGGCAGGTGACACAAGAATGATGGGGCTCTGGGAGGACTGAGGGTGGAGGGTGGGGACCAGCACAAGACAAAACCTATTTGAACACAGTAATGATGAACCACAGCAAGAGGTCCGGGGTGACATAAATATATTTGGAAAGCTGCCTGTGTACTCTCTAGTAAAGAACCAGCGCTGAGGGCCCCTCCCTGCCCACCTACCTCCTCCTCTCTCTCTCCGTAGACCCTCCTCACCCACTTCTGTCTCTTTCTAGGCTGCAGGACAAGGGTCAGAAGGGGTCTCCTCCAAGGAGATTCGGGGACAGTGTCAGGGGGCTGGGTGGCTGCAGCAGGAGAGGCAGCCTCAAGCCTCAGGGCTGAGGGGCAGGAGACTCTTATCTCCAGCCTGGCACATCAGGGTCT